GTGGTTTCTGTGGTTCAGGTGAAGTTTATATGGTTCAGGTGTAATTTCTGTAGTGTAGGTGTAGTTTCTAAAATCCAGGTGTGGTTTCTATGGGTTCATGTGTAGTTTCTGTGGAGACACAGACAAAGGAAAAATATATTTTAGTTAGAAATAACTGCAAACACAAACATGAGCAGCAAAGTGAGGAAATGTGGTCAACTTGTCCTCCAACATTCTAAGACTGTAGAGACAGAACTAAGGAATGTCTCTGGAAACCCAAGCCAACCCTAACTATATGATTTATCAGAAAGGAAGTTCTTCAGTGCAGTAATAAATGTAGACAATGTGCCTCACAGACAGAAACTGGAAGTTGGTTCCATGAGAGGAGCCTGATAACTGAAAGGTCTGCTCTACTGTTAGAAACTCTAGGAACCACAAGGAAACCTGCAGTCTAGAAAAGAAGTGCTTAGTTAGAATGATTTTGTTTGCATGTTTTAAACTTGCTGTAGTAAATCCATTAATTAAAAAACACTGGACTTGACCCTTCAGCTTGTTCAATTTTCAGACCAATCTCAAAACTTCCATTTCTTTCTAAAATCTTGGAGAAATTTTTTTTTTTTTTTTTTTTTTTTTTTTTTTAGCCTTTTTGAACGAGAATGGAATTTTTGAGCTCTTTCAGTCTGGTTTTAAACATTGACACAGCACTGAAACAGCTTTATTAAGGGTTTGTAATGATATGTTATCAAATGACTGGTCAGTTTGTGATCCTTGTTCTTCTGGACCTTACTGCAGCTGTTCATACTGTTGACCACAGTATCCTTATATCCCAGTTTGAACACTGTGTTGGGATTACAGGTGCAAGTAACATTAGAGTAGTTCCATTATTACCTGAGTGACAGGAGCTTTTGGGTTAATGGTGGTAATTTATTATCTGCTTCAGTGCCTCTTTCCTGCGGGGTTCCACAGGACTCGATTCTCGGACCCTTTCTGTTTTCAGTTCCTCTGCTCCCCTTGGGGTCTATCCTGAGGAAACGTGATCTTTCTTTTCACTGTTATGCTGATGATTGCCAGATATGTCTGCCCTTAAAACCTAATTGTTCCAGCTCCATTCACCCTCTGTTAAAATACCTTGATGACGTCATGGCATGGATGGCTTCATTTTTTTTGTTTGTTTTATAGATCAGAAGACTGAAGTCATTGTTGGATGGTTTTAGACTCTGACTTAAAGTTTAATAAACAGATTAACTCTGTTCTTCATAAAAGCTTCTTCCATTTCAGGCAGATAGCTGAGCTTTAAGACAGTGTTGACCAGATCTGACCTTGAAAAACAGCCCATGCCTTCATTACAACTCGATCTGACTACAGTAATGCACTTTATGTTGGATCAGTCAGGTGTCCATTTCACGTCTGCAGCTCAGCTCTGAACAGGAACTCGTAGGTTTGATCATATTTCACCAGTTTTCTCCTCCCTTCACTGGCTCCCTATACATCACAATTGATTTTAAAATTCTCCTGTTGACCTTTCAGTGCATTAATGGCCTTGCACCTTCATACCTCTGACATACTTCAACCTTATGCTCCTTCTTGGGCGCTGACATCATCTGATCAGCTGCTTTTGTTTGTACCAAAAACCAGATTGAAGCTCAGAGGAGATGGAGCTTTTTCAGTCGTGGGTCCTAAACTCTGGAATAATCTGCCCCCCAACATTAGACAGGCCACTTCACTTCCTGTTTTTAAATCTCTTAAAAAAAAAAAAAACACCTGTTTTCACTGATGTTATATTTTATTGTTTTGTGTTTTATGTTTATTTTCTTTTGATGCTTTTAAATTAATTTCGTTTTTATGTTTTTAACCTCTAACAACTGCTTTATAAATAAATATGACTTGTTAGGAAAATATGGAAGAATAAGATCTGTAATATAAGATGGAGCTAGGTTGTTGAGAGCTTTGTAGAAATAAAATTTTGAATTCTATTCTGAATTTGACTTGAAGCTAAAACTGGATGAATATGATCTGTGGCAGCATGGAAGACTTTTTAAAGACTTTTGGAGCCCAGAAAATAAAGAATTACAATAATCTAGTTTCACTAATCTGTAACAACGTTATTTTCTGTAAACACAAAGTTTCCTCTGAAACAAGGACACAATCTGGAAACATTTAACTTGAGGTAAAAACATATATTTTTCTTCTTTCAGTGATGTCTTCATCTAGAAGGTTTGTGAAAGATGAGGTTATTTTTGAAAGCGAATCCAACAATGGAAAATAAAAACTATTGATATGCAGCTTATAGCGTGATGATGCAACAAATCAAATGTGAATTTAGCAAAAAGTTCAATCAAGTCCCGTTTTACTTTAGAAGACAGAACCTAACCAGAGTCAGATTCAGACTTTACAGGAGAAAGTGGTGCTTGAAATTAGATGGAAGTGCAGGAAATGCGTTTTCTAAAGTTTCTGGTGAGTTTTAAAACCACGTGTCTGAATGTGACGCCCAACATCATCCACGCCGTCCGGAAGCGGGCGGCCCTTTGATGATTGCTCATTTAAATGTTTAACTACTTCCGTGTTGTAACAAACATTTTTGGGGAAAACCCGTCTCTCATGAATTTTGTGTTTGAGAGCAGGTGTCAGACTCAGGTGTTGGCGTGCGTAAAAGCATCTCCAACACGTCATTACGCACAGCTCCAGTTTGTGAAAGTTTGATGCGGAGCACGCGAGTCTTCATCAGAGGCTCTGGAGTCACTGAGGACATGAAGTCCGGTTGGGCTGCAGTTGTTGTCGGACTGGGGGTGGTGCTGATGCTCCTGACGCAGAGCGCGGACCCGCTCCATCTGAGCCGGGAGGACCTCGCGGGGCTCCGCGCCGCATCGCAGCGGCTTGTCCTGTGCGTCGTGGCCGGAGTGTCCCTCCTGGCCGCGGGCTGGCTGTACCGGCTGCTCTTCCATCCCCTGGAGCTGCTCCGAGCCCCGGAGGATGTTGGATACATCGCAGAGGGCGGTCGCTCCAAGGCGCAGGCGGCGAACGAGGTGCGCCGGAGGAGGAAGGTGGGAGAGCTGCCTCCGGTCTACCCCAACGGATGGTACCGGGTTCTGGACTCCCACAGCCTGAGCAGAGGGGAGGTCAAAAATGTTTCCATTCTAGGTATGACATCATTTACTTAAAAAAAAAACCCAGTAAATCTCCATCTGTGTATTCTGCACCAATGATTAAATCATGTTTGCCACATTTTATTAATCGTTTTAAAGCTTCAGATAGTTTGTTGATGAGGTGTGCAGGAGCGCGTGAAACTGTCAACTCAATTATTTGAAATCAGGTATAGTTACATTCTGATGTCTTCAGATTGACTTTGAAACTGACACACGCAGAGACGCACGTTTTTTCCTCCCTGCAGCGCCGACAATAAAACAGAGGTGTTAAAGCGGAAGTTCTTAACAATAAATTGATCCAAAACGCACGAGCTTGTTTTAAACACACACCTGGCTCCCACTCATTGCGATTAAAGGTTTCACATTCACTGAAGGGATGCAGGTCTCCCTTTTTGCAGGATGAAGATTTTATGCATAATTTTAAGATCTTGCATGATCCATTAGCACTCAGAGCTTTTGCTGAGGATGACTCTCAGCTACCATCACACTAAACTTTGGCTCAATGTCTGTAAAACTGACTGAGCTTCAGCCATTTATGTGTCTGTGAAGGTCGATCAGTTGCAACATCCATCTTGAATTAGGTCGACTCCAAAAGTTAACCTGAAGATGTTTCTGATCCGTTGTGCCGTTTGCTGACGGTCTTGTCTCGTTGCCTTCTTTTTCTTAGCGCTGTTGCCAAGAAATGTGAGTCAAACCCTTTTTACAGATTCTTGTTTAAACGTTACAATGGTTCTTGGTTAGTGAGGTGCTTGGGAACTCTCACTGAAACAACCTCGGGGCCTTTAAACACCCTTTAACTTGCACTTGAAGGCATCGTGGAGATAAGTGCTGCAGGTGACAGGCTTATTAAACACATTTTATGAACAGATAATTAAATGTATTTATGTAGCGCCTGTTCTCAACAAAAGCCATCTACACAAAAATGCATGCATTATAAAATGCTATGAAAGTTATAGGAAGCCAGAAAGTTGTGTCAAATCTTCATTTTGAAGCAATATCACATGAACACCAAAGTTCATGCTCAATAATTCAGGTAAAAATCCAAAAATGTTCAGTCAGGTCATCTGGACACTTTATTTTTATTTAGTATTTATTTTGTTGAGACGTTTCGTCGTCATCCAAAGGACTTGATCACATGAACCTTTACTAATATGCTCAAAGTCAGTGTTTGCAATGCATTGTGGTCCAGATTTACTCACGCCTACATCCGGGTCTTTAAAAAAATCTGGGTCTGAACAGCGTTCATATGTTTCAGCTGTGCTCCGACACCCGGCCACATTAAACGTCAAAGACTTCAGCTGCTGCAACGTCCAATAAAAACTCATTTATAAATCTGTTTGAAAAGTCAAAAGGCCCAAAACACCAGAGTTGACCTAAAGCAGGAAATGTTTGGTAACTGTTGACATTATGAATGTTTTTGTCTTGTGCTGCTCTCATTTGTTTTTTTTTTTTAATTGGCTTATTTTTATTGGTTTATTGTGAGTCATGTGACTTCTCTAATTGATTGCACCTGTGATTAATAAAAGGTGCGTGCTCCTTCAAACATTGCTAGAGTGAGGAGGAGCGACACGAAGCCAAACCACGTTTCATGCGTCACGTTTAACGTTGTGCCAAAAGTGAACTCTGTTAACGGTCAATCCTGAGCAGCACAGAGGCGACGGTGGAGAGAAAAAACTCGTTTAACAGAAAGAGACCTCCAGAAGAACCAGGCTCAGGAGGGGCGGCCACCTGCCTCCACCGACTGTTGGAGAAGACGCCACAGACGAGCATGGCTGGTACAGGTGGAGTTTCTATGGTCCAAGTAGTGTTTCTGTGGTCCAGGTGGAGTTTCTATAGTCCAGGTGGACTTTCTATGGTCCAGGTAGGGTTTCTA